TGATCAACTCGGTAATTACTTTATTAATTTTGTATCCGTGTTTTTGTAATACATTATTTTGTGAATGACAAAGATTGTTTTATGAAATATAATTTCATATTTTTAATAATCAAAAACTACGTTTAATATTATCTGATTGAAAAATAATTTATTTAATTAAATCACGTATAATTAAGATTTCGATCGAAATCAGTATTACTTCTTGCTGTCTGCGGCACAAATAATTTGATGATTGTAACATGTTGACTACATATGAAAGATTAATCCTCAGCAAATCACTAATGCCCGTACCTTTCCGGTTTGTATCACAAGCGGCTCGGAGAGAGGTTCAATAGTTTTTTAACAAAAATGTTAGCGCTGTAAATTTATGTACGTGGCCATAGGTATGATTAATACATTTTGTTTTTTTCTGTTGATTTCCAATTAACGGGGTGGCAGCTACAAGGCACGAGTGCCGGAAAATTCATTAAATCGCACACCGGCTTACCGTAAACAATCCGAATTTCATACGAATATGATAATCTTCTGTGGGCCGTAAATCATTCGTAATCTATCAGTGGACACATCCCTGCTATGCCCTGAAGAACGCTCAATCCATGTCCATCATCACTTTCTTGAGTTTTATCATGTGTGTAAAGATATTTACACAGTTAGAGGTTAAGTATGGTGTTCTCCATTTCAAAATCGTTTCATTAGTGAAATGAACGTTGAACTCTTTTTCAAGAAGAATCATGATTAAATTTAAATTAACTTGGATCTAGAGATAAAAATTAACTTAACGTGCAAACTTGCCTTAGCTTCCCCCTAACTTGCCGTGACATAGCCTTGACACGTGAAATGTCAAGCTATATCGAGAGAGTGATGGGTTGTGTTTGCTTTAGCTATAATTGCCCATTGGCCATCTAGCGACGATTACTTAAGCTGCGGTGCCGCGGCCCGCGGCGACTGCGGCGAGCGACGAGGACGAGGGTTGCAAGTTTTGCAAAGACTGCACACATGACACCGGCATTCTTCGCTGCACAGTTAGAGGCTTGCAGCACTTCCAGTATAAGTAGTGAGATTGTTCCGGCAATACTTACATCCAGATCAAGTCGGTTGACCGCAGGCGGTACTTACAGGCAATCCTTTCGCTGTCCAGTTACGTATTGTGGTATGTCATCGTAAAAGTTTGTATTGTTCAAAAACATTTACTACATATTGTATATTACGGTGTAGGCTTATCTCGTTACTAGTAATATTTTTTTTATGTTTTCCAGGTGACGATTATTTTTGTGTTTGACTGCTTGAAGTGTTTACGCACTACTGACTGGAAATTCGATTATCCGGCTGAGGGTCATCGCTATTCACCTTATAACAATGGCAATCACAAGTGAGTATTTCAAAAAAAAAAATTTGATTTTCATTTCAAGTAGGATTTTAAAGATTTTTCAAGTTCGTAAAACTTAAATTTTCTAAAGTAAATTTCCAACGACGCGGAATTTATAACTTTTCAAAGATATATACTTAAAATGACTCACATGCTCGCAAAAGTACTGCACAAAGGGACAAGTGTGTTACTTTTATTGGAGTGTTTACGTAGGTATATACTTTTACTGCCATCATGGGATTAATGCAAGAGCACGTGCGTGTGTTATGATTGTTTACATTTATTGTGCCCCAAGCATCTCGGGTGAAAGAAACTTGATATTATTTTAAGGCGACTGTATTGCTTGCGTACTTACTAGCGCGTAAAGTGTTCATCTCGAAAAAGACTAAAACCAACGGGCAAAAGGTCTCGACTGATTTGTTCCTGTACACAAAAAAACATGTAAATATTATAAAATGTTTACCTTTGGGCACTTATTCGAGGGCTTGATTTATTTTATAAAACCAACCATGGCAAAAAAGTTGATCGTTATTTTGACAATTCTTTTAGAAATTTGAAATCAACGATTAAAATAAGAACTAAGTCCTTTAATTACAATTCATATACTTACTTTGATTACTTAAATTTTTCTCAGTAAATAGTATACTATAGCGATTCTTTGCTCGCGCGCGCGCGTGTATATATATACATGAAGTATTTACGTGATACTTGTAATTGAAACAGAGAAAAACGTACGTGAGAGCAAAGAAGATAGATTGTGTATCGTCTTACATATATTTACTGCCGATAAGTTATAAGTAAGGGGTAAGGGGATCGAGTTTGATAAGGAGACGCGTTTTGAATTCAGACGTCAGCGTTAAGTACTAAAGAACGGACGATAGTGTTTTATACTTAGACATTGAATATATATGTTGTACTTGCAATGGTTTGCGATGTAAAATTTAGCAGTGCGTTAAATTTTATGTACTTCATTGTATAGTAATTTAAACGGTACGTGTACTGGTATAATTTTTTTACTCGACAATTTAAAATCATCCGCTGGAAATCCTTATATTATAAGTTTCGTACATTTTTCGAGTCCAGTCCAGAGACCCATACATAATTTTTTTTTTTCAGTGTAAAAAAAATTACAAAACCGTCTTTTTCATAACTGCGATTTGCACATAAACGTGTGCAAGGCTCAGTGCAAAATTAATCGATGTAAACACGAAAGGCTTCTGCTTGCCTTGATTTTTTTTTTTTTTGTAATTAGTGATGAAATATATTTTAATCAAACACTTTTTTTCAGGGATGAGTATAATACTTCTTGGTATTAGCTTAATAATTCTTCAAGCCGAATCAAGGTGTAGGCATGTAAGAAAAATGGGTTCCTTAAAAGCTGACTGTTTTAATCAAGGATTAAAACGTATACCTGAAGATCTGATCAAAGAAATTGAGGTACGTTTTTCTTGAAACATGCCGCAACTATGGCATGTCTTGGTAGTTTCTTCCTCCTTTAGGAATAACGTTTCTGTTTTGTCTCTTAGGTTTTGGATGCACGGCATAATACGATACCGCAATTAGTAAACGATTCAATAAAGTGGTACCCCTTTTTGAAAGAAATTTACCTTCAAACTACTGGCTTGCTAATGATAGATCATACAACATTTTCTTCCTCAACACAATTAGAAATTTTAGATTTATCCAACAATCTTATCAGGGACTTACCACAGAACATTTTTTATCTCCCTAAATTACGGAAACTATATTTGGATCATAACGAAATAATAGACAGCACTTTTAAATCCACTAATGTAACGTCTCCACTGGAACATTTGGACTTGAGCATGAATAAATTGAAAAGGATGCCCCCATTGCGATCCCCATTTGAAGTCGTTCTCTTAAATTTGACTGGAAATCCAATTAAAAAAATAGAAATCGAAGATCTGGCATCAATGTGTTCTCTCAAAGAGCTCATTGTGGACAAAAATGTTTTTGATGATCAAGGGTGCGGTTGCCTCATAATCGACAAACTGCTCTACAACTGGAATATCAAAGTGAGTTTAAAGAATTTTCGTAATTTACTCAATGAATTATCTTTAGGTTTTTTTTGTCTGATATACTTTTTATTATTACCTTGTACAGGTAACTGTGACTACTCCACTGAATTGTCAAGGCCAGAATGGATGTAAAAACGTTGATATGTTATTTAACCACACGCTCTTCATGCGAGAAAAATGCATGACAAAACTGCAAGGCCGAAAAGAAAATCGGCACAAGAAAGCCGAAATGGTTTATTGGAGTCTTGCCGCTGTGCTTGCAGTTCTGATTTTATGCATCGTTCTGTATTGCTGGTACAGGCAAAGAAGAAGTGGAACGTACAAAAATAAGGAAGTTATGTTAACAACAGGTTGTGTGGAAGAATTTCCAGAAGTGTAAGACCAGTTACTGTGGACTGCCAAAGCCTGATAATGTGATATTTGGTGCTCATATAGTAAGACTACAATATTTTACTCATCAGCAATTACAACTTTCTTTAAGAAAATTTACGTCAGCAAACATAGCATGCTAATTTATTTAGGATTATTTCTATATAATTTTATGTTTTTATAACTGTACAAGCATTATTCGTTTTATATCATTGAAGTAGAGGTTTTTTTTATTTATTATTATTTTTTTTTACTGTAACTTTTAAATTATTTGTAGTATAAAAAGTCAACAGAGCTTTACTAAAAAATAATGTTAGATTAATAAGACATAACATGTTGAATGGTTTTAAGCGAGGAATAAAATACTTATTTTATATGTAAAAAATGTTTATTGACAGTCAAGCCAAACATGTGAAAATGTAACTAAGACATATAAAAAAATGTATGAGTCGCAATTTGTAGTTTTTAAATTTAAGTACAAATACTTATAAATCAATTTTTACTAAGTTAAACAATTGAACGATACTAGTAAGGTCCACGCTTATTTTGATAATAATAATGATTGTGTATTTTACAATTGTATGACTTTAATTCAACAACATAGCAGTTTTTTTTTAATTTATTTATTTGTTTGTTTTTTTTTTCAATGTACATGAGACTCAACGGTTTTCTAAAAAAAAAAAAATTTTTCAGTGTGTAAAAATTTTGTACAAAATATTGTTTGAATTCAAGAATAAGAATTAATCTATGAAATATAATTTGGTCAATTTCTTCCTCAACCCTTTGGTATCCTGTTTTTTAGATGTTACGGATATGATCCATTACAAATTTATTTGCATCA